AAAACATATAAATTGTTGTAAAACTGATTTCTAATATTAACAATGGGTAGTTGTGGTGCATTTGCATAAGTTCATGGCTCTCATGTTGTATACATATGCATGAATTTAACAGACTGGTAAGAGGGAAGATGTGTAGGTGTATGTTCTCAGCTGCCCTCCCTAGGGTTAGAGAGAGTCTCATCTGCATCCTCTGCATACTCAACAATGGGTGGTCATGGACAGTGTTACCCCTTCCAGCAACCACTCCTTGGGTTGAGAAGGGTATCATGTCTTACTTATTGAGCCTGGGTGGTCACATACTCTTCACACCCTGTTTCAGGGTAATGGAACTCTGACCCTCCCATAACACATGCAAGGTCAAGGTCAACTCCTTCCTTATTTAATTTCACTAAGAAACAAATTAACAATGAAACGATCAATTCCCAGTGCTCAGCTAAACCCATCTCCTCATCTTATGGCAACATAAACCCAATCTCCCTCTGCCAGGACAGCCGAACTCTGGAATCTGCTTCCCCCTCTTAACGACTTCCAGCTGTCCATCTCTCCTTCTAAGCCTCCTGTTGCTGGCAGGGGATGGGGTGGGGAAAACTTCATCTCCATGTCCAGGACACTGATAACCACCTTCTTCCTCTGTGCTTTTTTTCTGCTGACGCGCCCTAATTTATATTATTGGCTTGTGTTTTTCATTGCCTTGAAGTGTGCAGTACTAAGGACTGTGACCTCATTTAAGAGACAATGAAAAAAACACACCTTCCTGATGGCAAAGGTAAGTGGAAGACTGTAACTGGAAGGCCATGTTACAGACTCCTTCCGCATCACAATGTATCCTGGGGAATGCAACCTGTTGATTGATGTTTACACACCCAGTGTAAACAGTGTGTACCAGAGAAGTTTGCAGTAAACTAGAGCAACTTTCCCTGTGAAGCCATGTCCTGGTAATTTTGATAAATTTTAGGAAGCTGCTTGGTTTTCTCTCTTGTCTTTTTGGGAGTAGACCTCTGTTGTATTCTTCTCTGATTGTGAGAAGAAATGGCACTTTCTTGTCACTGAGTGAAAAGTGAGTCCCACTAATGGTGAAATTCCAGGTCCCTGCATCGGTGAATTTAGGGCTGCCATGCTGACCTTTTTCAGCTCTGCTTTTTTAAACTGTGCTAATTCAATTGAACATAAGGGTAGGAATGAGGTCTGAAGTGGTATCCTTTATAACATGTAACTGGAAAAAGAAAGGTGTCATTTTGGTCGAGTATTTTTTTCACCTTTTTTTTTCCATTTAAATGGTCTGCCTGTTCTCTTGGTTATGACAGGTGATCCAATACCAGATACTACTTCTCCTTACAGACTTTGGCACTTTTACATCCCCAAACTATTCTTCCTATAACTATAATCATATTATTTTTTATAGCTGTCACAGAAGTGAAAAGAATGTCCCCTGCAGCCCTGAATGCATACATAAGCAAAAAACTCCAAAGCAAATCTACATCACAAAACATCCAGAAATTTTTACTGGAAACATGTATGTTTTGAATTCATTGTTTAAACAAGATCTAACACATTTCTGGGGTTATAATATGTTCTTGAGAAGCATATAAATTACTAAAATAATGAGGACATTGCCAAAACCTGCTAGAAATACTTGCAGCAATTTTGACTTCTTTTTTTTTTACTGCAGAAAGTACCTATTTGATGCTGTTTCCTACCAAACTATCAGTGATGAACATGAACAGTCAGTATAAAAATTCTTTGAGATACGCAAATTCACTAGTATATAATTTTAACACTTCTAATTAAAATCAGACTAGTAAGGACATCTTTTGTTTAAAGGAAAATGAGAGTGGTATATTATGTACTTACATTTCTTGACTTCTAATAATGCAGTACTGAGGGTTACCACAATGGATAGAGTAGCTTTTTATTTCCCATTTTGAACATGATTCAATGGCAGATGTGGGATTTCCTAACTGCAAAAAAAAGCCAAATCAAAAATATCTATGCCTCTGCCTTCAAGGCAAATTTGGGAGCATTTCCTTTTGAGTAACTTTCATAAACAGTGTAAGTGACAAAAGCCATATCAACTAGATTTGAATTGCACAGTATATTTCTAGTAGACAGCTGGAAAAGCCACAAAAAATTTCATTCTTACTCAACAGTTATGTATTAGGAAAATTACTTGTGCTGACCCAATTCAAACTGAATGTAGTTTTATTTGAAAAAAAAGTGAAATCCAAAGGGAAATATTTAGGCTTGGAAGAATTCTGCCTAGCAGTCTCATGCATAGTCTCATAGCTGTAAATGCAGGTATTCCAAAATACAAAGATTTGGGAGAAGGGTAATGAACAGAATACTCTGATACAAGGCAAGGTCTCTCAAATCACCAGAACTTGCTAACTGCACACTTTAAGTTTTCTAAAATATTCTAAGAATTATCATGAATACTGTTTGGGTTTATAATTAGAAAGTTTTTCTAGAGAATCAACTTATGAAACAGCAGAAAAACAAATGCAAAGGTGATTAAACCATATATTAAAAGTCCTTAAAATAAGTATCTTGTGATGGGAAAGTGTTAGTTGTGTGTTTATTGTCGTAACACGTTGTGTCTACACAAAAAGCATATGCACAAATTTCTCTTCTAAGGTTCTAAAGTCGTAGGGAATTGTGGACTTCCGTTTTGTGTTGTGTCAAGCCGTGAACCTAAGTCCCTATTTTTTAAGTAAGGTTAGCTTCTTGTTGCCCAGATGTAATACAGAACAAATGGTCAAGGGGACAATGATAAAAACATCAGGAAACAGAGACCAGAGAAGATGGTTATTAAAAGGCAGGGGTGTGGAGAAAGTTAAGGCTACATAGAATCACAGTGACTGGGTAACTTATGGTAAAAGAGAATTAGAAAACCCTAAAGGCAAACAAAAAGTTTAAAATATAAACATGTTAAAATTATGACATGATAGTGGTTATTATGGTCAAATGCACGTGTAATAACACACAAAAAGAACTGAAAGTATAAGATCACAAATATGAGATTACAAAATACACAATGACTATAAAAGTTACAATAAAAATTATAAAGGATGTTCTAAGGAGAGACATAGTATTGATCCATTAATTGTTGAATCTCCTTATTTTTCCATATAACTGGAAGAAAACACTCAATGCAGTCTCCCAGCTTGAAGTTTACATTTGTAATTGTACATGTAATAATTGCAGTAATAGTAAAAACTCTTATAAAAACATACTAAAAAAGATAATTTGGGCTCGAGTAGTGTAGGTACTTTCCTCTTCTGAGAAGGGACCCTAGAGATCAATGTGCAGCAGAAATCAAATTTGACAGGCAAAGCTATCCCCAAGATGCAGGAATCTTTCTCCCAGAGCCACAGGTGAAAGAATTGGGTATTTTAACATATATTATAATTCACACAAAGCATAAACCTCCTTTGCTTCTTTGCAAGCCCACAGTACCAAGAATTTTGTTTCTTGTTACAGTGGTACATTCAGGGCAACTTTTCCACAACCTGTACAAAAGTTACAAAGGAGGGGGAAAGAAAATATAGTTCTACTTAGAAACAGGTGTGATATTCCTGTAGCAAGATATTGATATTGGTGAAATGCAACTCAATTGGTGCTTCTTTCAAGGCTAAAATATATTTCAACCCCATGTTTCAGCATTTTTCCATTTTTGGGGGGGGAAACTTTGCTTTTTATGAGTACTTTGCTTTCCATGTGGGCTACAGGAAACGTGCAAGGATTTGCTTTGGCAATGCTATTTAACTCTTTATTGAAAAACCAGGTATTCTGTATGTCTGGATCTTAAAACCAATACATTTATATAACTGCATCAGCCCACATATTTCACTTACTTGTAATGGTTAGATCTTCCAAGCCTTAATTTTCAGTTGGAGGCTCTGAAATCCAACTCTGGGAGTGATAATTCTGAATAACCTTCCTGTCTGAGAAGGTATGCTCATGCAGCCTAAACTGCTATCAAGACCTGCTCTAAAAACAGGTTTCTGACTTTGTGTTGCAAATGTTATTACTTACTTCAGAGAAAAAGGAAAAAAACCCCACACGAACAAAAAAGGAAAAGGCAAGATGCATCTCACTGAGCTATGCTGAAGCCTCAGCACCTCAGAGCAGAAAAATCTCATTACCTCAGCAATGTCTCTAAGTATCTGAAGGGAGGGTGTCCTCCTGGTGCTGAGCAATAGGACAAGAGGTAGAAACTAGTGGACGAGAAGTTTCATCTGAACGTGAGGAAGAACTTCTTTACTGTGAGAGTGACCGTGCACTGGAACAGATTGCCCAGAGATGTTGTGGAGCCTACCTCACTGCACATACTCAAAAACTATGCGGACGACGTTCCTTGAGCAGGGGGCACATCACTGCGGTCCCTTCCAACCTGACCCCTTCTGCCATTCTGTGAGACTGTGATCTGCACGGTTCATATGGAAACACCTGGTATCTCAACAGGGACGCGACACAGGTGCTCCTACAGCTCAAGAAGGGTAGGAATCCTGTGGATTCCCAGGCATGTTCAACATCCCTCTCTCAGCACCCCAGGTAGGCAGCAACTGCTCCCATAGAGACCGAGAGGAAAAAAGAAGGCTGGACTCGCCCACCAGGGCGGGTGTGGGCTCACGCAGCCCACCCCTCTGAGCTCCTCGCCCGCTGACCGTCCCCCGCTGCCACTCTCCCATCCATCCACCCTCCCATCCCCTCTCCCACTCTCCCATCCCCGGGATCACCGCCCCGCCACGGCGCACGCGCAACCGCGGCTCGGGCGGGCGAATTCAAACGCGCCCCTCGCCCCTTCTTCTCGCCGGGGCAGCGCTGACGTCATTGCACCGCGTCCTCCCCTGCCCTGCGGTTTCCGGCGCCCGCCCGCGCCGGGGGTGCCGCGGAGCGGGGCAAAGTTTGCGTGCCCGCGGTTCGCGGCGCCGCCGCTTTGCCCTCCTTCCCGGGCTGCGGGTCCCGCTCCGCCTGGCGCACACCCTCCCGTGTCCCCGCCAACCCTGCGGGAGTAGCGGCCAGGGGCTGTCGGCGATGGCTTCGCGGGGCGCGGAGGCGGCGGTGCGGCAGGTGGCGGAGCTGGAGCAGGAGCTGCGGGGCCTGGCGGAGGAGCTGAGCTGCTGCCAGGTACCGGGGCGCGGGGCCGCCCGAGCCGGGCTGCCGCATCCCCGGGCGCTGCTCCCGGGGGTGCCCAAAGGCAGGGACGGGGGGCAGGGCCCCGGGCAGTCCAGGAGGGGAATTAAACCGGTCCGGGCCCTTGTCCTGACTGAAACCAGCTGTCCTGAGAGCTTTCTCGTTCCTCCCCAGAGGCCACGGTTTGCTTGAACTGAAGTAATAGCAGTCCCGATGTGCTGCCTTAATGCAATTCCGGGGGAAAATGAACAGTCAGAGGGGTTTTAGAGAAATGTAGGTCTTGAAGGAACCTTTGGAGGTCATTTAATCTCTCGCCCAACCTTGCAGCGGGTTTAAGTATACCTGAGCCGTTTCTGGAGAGAGAGGGCTTAATGACTAATTATGGGTGTACTTGGAAAAGTTCCCCCGTGTATCTCTCCTTGAGACCTCCTTTCATAGGTGCACTGCCCTCATTTTTCTAATTAGTTGTTTATCGCTGACATTTAGGAGTATTTCCTGAAAATATAAAAGTGCTGGTAATACGAAATGAGTGAAAATTCTCTGCCAAACACGTGGGTTACACTAGAAGTATGCGGCAGAGAGGAAGGTGACATTAAATGCTGCAGATGCTTTTTCGCTTGATGGAAGCCAAAACAGTGTTTTCATGTGGCATGTGGTCTGGTTAAAGCCACGAAAGCCTGGGCTGACATGGTCATCAGAAGAAAGCATCCACCTTGGAGCTACTAGAGGTTCCCTACTCCAAGCAGCTTTGGTGCACCTGACAACTGGCATCGGTTCCTGCTGTTGGTAGAATTCAGACTTCTTGAAAAAAACATATTACATAGAAGATCTATGGGGAGAGGGAACTGTCAATGAAAATCCTGTTTGTAAATGCTGAACAATACTGAGTGGTTTGGGGGTATCTTCAATGTCTTGTAGAAGTTCAGAAAACTCCTTTTAAAGATATATATTCCTAATATGCAGATGTGCACTATCAGACAAAATACGATGGAAGCAGAAGGAAGGCCTGGTGCTCTGCTCATTTAGTAGTTGAACACAAGTTATATATTACTAAAACATAGTAGGATGTAATATTTTTAAAGAGCATTAAAAATAATAGAAACTTGGAAGTAAACGATACAAATCTGAGTTTCTGATCACTTTGATAATGTAACTTAATATACACGAACTGTAGTTAAGCATCTGATTTCCCCTTTAGATTCATTCAATTATGTGTGCATTTTTGCTTGTCTCTTGATTAACACATTCCAGTCTTCTTAAAGTCAGAAAACAGAAAATATTTTTAAATGTATTTATTTTAAATCTCTTGCATATTATCCTGCCATTCTTGTATCTTTGTCTTTTGTCAGATCAGATAGTTTTCTGGGAGGGAAGCAAGCAAAAAAGAACAGGAAATAGTTGAAAATAGAAGCCAGTCAGTGTTCTGCAATAATCTCTCCAGTGCTATATAGAATCCAATATATACCATCTTTCTAATGACAGGGGATGCATGTCTTCAGGATTTATTTCAGGTTATTAATAAAATAAAAAGGAAAGTGAGGTAGTAATCTATAAGCAGGGTTTCTCTGAAAGCACTGCAGTGTAGACGTCTTTACTGTTTTACTAATCCATCAATAAATTTAGACAGGTTTAAGCATGTGTATGTTATGTAAAGAACAGGGAAGCCAGATTTTAATAATTAAAAGAGGTGATAATCTAGTAAATTATGCAGCTTTTTCAATGTATAAGGTAATTAACTTTCTTTTTAAAAAGTTTTGCGAAGATATAATGAATTTGAAGGGGAACTAAAATAGGCTTCAGTAAGATTCCTCAACTGATTTGAAAGTCAGCTGATAAAATTATTTGGGGATGGTTAATCCATTTTAAGGTCATAATTTGTGAAAATTTTGTGCAAAGACAGGCTGTTTGGAAACATAAATACATATGGGTAATGTCAATGTTGTGTTTTTCTAGTTTCTTCACAGTTGTACTACAAAGTTTTTGCTGGCCATCTAATTCCATTTGTGGAATTTTGTTTGATCTACTGTGATCTACTTAGTTTCATATAGATCTAAGAACTTCTTTGGTTCTTGTGATGTCTTTGAAAATTTGTAGGTCTTTTTAGTCAGAGTTGTGAAACCATTTATGTTGGAAGGAACATCCTAAGAGAATGTATTGCACCCCATCCTAGACCAGATTGCTCAGGATGGTGTCCAGTTAGGCTTTGAGTGTTCCCATGGCTGGAAACTGCAACCTCTGAGGACAACCTGTGGAGGTGTGTGAAGACCCTCATATAAAGGTGTTTTGTTTCAGTGTCTAGTGAAATTTTACTTGTCCTATGTTCCATGCTATTGGGTAAGGCTATGCCTTCTCTAGACTGCCTTAGCAGGCATTTTGAATAGAAATGTTGTATGTCTTTATAAAAGATGTTAGTGAGAGGGTGTTAACTTTTAGTCCAGCAACTGGACAAAATTGTCTGGGATTTTTCTTGCATTTTTTAGTCTTTTTCTGTCTGAGTAATATGTTCACAGACACATAAACTGTACTGCTGAAATCTAGTTTAGTAGTTTAACAGTGTACCAGAACAAAACGATTATTCTTAGCTATTTGTTTAGGTATTAGCCTCTTGGATATTTTTTCCCAAAGAAAAAAAGACATCAAATGATTGATGCTAAAAGATTTAATTTGTTCTAGGAAACTCTAGTCAAAAAGTTTTAGAAAGGAGATGTATGCATCCAGCAGTTATTTAGCATCTGAATAAATACACACATTCTTGGACCATTATATTCACTGTAATATAAACTGCAGTTCTGAAACAAAGTCTTTTCGGGGAACTGCAGCCCATTGATGATAAGGGGTCCATTGGCTGAATACTTGGGAGCCTTTTCTGGCTAATGCAGCTCCTGAGTCTGGTGGGAGTATTGTGCATTCTAGCTTTGCTCTAACCACAGGTATTCTAGGCATCCACTTTGGATGTTGTCTCTGTTCTGTGGCAGAATCCTGGAGTACCTGACCCTTTTACTCATCTGGAATGGTGCCCTTTCTGTTCAAAACGAGATTCTTATTCACATTTATTCTGTCTTTTACGGTAACACTTCCCACTAAGTGAAGGTTTCTACAGAGTCAAATATGGTATTTTTGACTGCCTTTTTTTTTTTTTTCCCTTTCATTCTTTTCAAAAGCTGAGATTTTGCTGGTAAGTCTTGACTTCTACAGCTTAGGTTTGGAATATTTGATATTTTCTTTAGTACTCCTCAAAACATTGTGAGAGCTTGAATCATAAGAAGCAAGATCTTGGAGAACGACATGTTAAAATTACAACAATTTTGTTACATTCAGTCTGTGAAAACTCGTGTTGACTTGCAATTCTGTGATAGAATTTGCAAAAATGAGAAAGCCAAGTTCCCAAATTGTCTGCCGAGGAGCCTTGTATAAAGCTGAAAAGGTATGCCTCTACAGTATGCTGTTTTGGAAAAGTTATGGTTATATCTGCAATGAAACACCGTATCATTATTTTGATAATAATTTTTAATTTCAGTGCTCCTCTTCTCCTTATTTTACTTGAGAAATTAAGTCACTCTTCCTGAAAACAACTGAAAACATGAAATTATTTTTTATTTTTAAATTTCTTGTTTCCATTGGGACCTTGTTGCATTTCTGTGAAGGACTTGATAATGTTGGGAGGCAGTGGAAAGGCAAAGATGAAATAGTAAGATATGACACATCTTGTTTCTATTGCTTGTGTTAACTGCTGCATTTCATTTCAGGGTTTTATGCTGCTATCTATGACCATAAAATATCAAGATCCTTCCTTGGAAGATCTTCGATACCTATGTTCCTATTACTCCCAGGAGATTTTTTTTCTGCTTGGTGTTTAAAAGATCTGCCTTATGTTTGAACCACATTGTTTCTGCAAAACATAGTGGCTCCTCTTGAAGGAAATTAGAGTGGTTTGGTTGGGGTGTGTGGGTTTTTTTGTTTGTTTGGGGTTGTTTTGGTTTGGTTTTTTGGGTTTTTTTGATAAGGGGAATGATATGTGAGTGGAGTTTCTGAGCCAGCAGTACATTTTTAGCTTTCATGTGCTTTAATCTTGTGTATTTCTTTAAACCACCTGTTTCCTCTGTATTGATTCTCAGCATATTCCTGGTTGGTTTCCGGCAGTGTGGGTTTTTGTTTTTTTTTTTTTTTCTCTTATTTGATGTAAAATAATGTCCATTCCTCAAGCAGAAGATACATATTTGGTGTCCTAGCTCTCAATCCCTTGCTGAGGTTCAGACTCTTTCATACCCCACTATTCTGTAGCTAAAAATATAGGGATGGTTCTTTCCAGTATTCTGTGATGGGAAACGTTATCAAATCCTAGCTTTGGACAAGACAGTGTGATTCAAGACTGGGTTTTCCACAACCAGCAGAGTGTCCTATATTGCTGGTAATACAGAAATTTGGAAGAAGCAGATACTTCTGGTTTTACTTACGCTTTTGGTGATGTTCACAAGAGGGCTTTGGTTTGTTTAGCTTTATTTCATATTTTTCAGCCTAGGATCTCTTTATTTGTTGAAAATACTATTTTGAGTTCAAACAAGTGTCTTAATTTTTCCATTATTAGTTTTAAAAAATCCCTACTATCAACCTTCACTTTATACACTGCATTTTGCTTTCAAAGGTAAGGTGGCATTTCTTGCTGCTGAAAGGATGCTGTGTTTTCATAATTGAGGACTTCCTTTCTAAAGCTGTGGTTCTGCAAAAACTGAAGTGCTTATGATGCCTACTTTTCTGTGTTAGAAATTTAGTAAACCATTGCATGGTACTTTACACAGTTTATAGTTGTGGCCCAAAAGGTTCAGTCTGTCAGCTGCCCGTGGTCTGCAGACCGTATTGTTTAGTCAAAGAAACCATTCTGCCTGGTATGGTTTTCATTTTACAAAGGCAGCTAGTACATTAAAAAATAGATAGTTCTCCAGTAGTAAAAAAAGTTTGGAACTGATCATTAATCTCTCTGTAACTGTTCTGCTGCT